CTAGAAACTTTGGGGGGAATGTAGGGAGTGAATGAAAAGTGGATACTAGGTTTCCCATGGAATCATTAAAATGTTCTTAAATTGATTGTAATGAAGGGTGCACAACTCTATAAATATATTAAAAGCCACTGAGACTTTAAGTGGGTAAACTGTATGGTATGTGAATTATATAACTATACAATTAACAACTCCTGGTCTATTCTACATATGCAAAAACATTAACTTATTGCCCCTTCTTTTAAATACTTAATGGTTCCTAATTGTTTTTGCTATATTGTAGTAAATATGACAATAATCATCTTTCTAGTTAAAGTCAGTTTTAAGCTAAGTTTTCAAATGGCAAAGAATGTAAAATAGCAAAAGAGTATATACAACTTTACTGTTGCAAATGTCCATTATTTGATGTGCCTGCCTTTTGGACAAGTCTAGGAACACATGATCTATTACTTCTATAGCAAAATGGTTAGTGAGAAAAATGGTTAAACTTTCAGAACATATCCCCCATCGTTCCAGAAACAGTGCTATCATTAGTATTACAACCACTGAATCTTGGAACCTATCTAGCCATACCTCCTCCTGCCATGGGAAAACCCTTTAGGAAGAACCCAGTGGCATTAGAATATATCTCCCTTCTGCTAATCTTGGGGTTAACGGGAACAGGGATGAACACAGTTGCCACATTTCACACTTGTGAAAGCAACAAGGTTCCCTGATCACTTGTATCTCCTTATTGCTTCAACCACACTAATCTTATTCCCCTTCTCAGAACTTTGCTCTTTCCTAACATGTCCTTCATCCCTCTGTCTATTCCACTATTCATTCTTGAAGACCGGTTTTATTTTATTTTTTTATTTAATTATGTTATGTTAATCACCATACATTATATCATTAGTTTTTGATGTAGTGTTCCATGATTCATTGTTTGTGCATAACACCCAGTGCTCCATGCAGTACGTGCCCTCTTTAATACCCAACACCAGGCTAACACATCCCCCCACACCCCTCCGATGGTTCTGAAGTGGTTCATCTCCCCCTCCGATTTCCCCCCCTTCATTCTTGAAGCCCAGTTTTAACTTTAATCCACATGAGGTCTTCATTAGTTACTCTGGTCCATTCTACCTCTAGATAAAAATTGCTCTCAGTACCACACAAATGACTACTTTATTTCTCTCCATTTTATGTGCTTTAATATTGTCTCCACCTGCTCCTTCCCCCACAAAACAGAACAAACTAAGACAAAGTCAAAGAATCTGTATCTATATATCCTAGGAAGGTAATCTATAACAAAAATTAACAGTAACAGCCAAGTTAACACTCACTGAACATTTACTATGTACTAGACCCTGTGGTGTGTGACACGCACTACTCCTCCAGATAAACATTACAACAACCCCATGAGGTAATTATCCCATTTTACTGATGCAGAGACCGAGACACAGAAAGTCAAGTAACTTGCTCAAAATACCACTTGTTGGTTGACAAATACTTCAGGAAATGCTTTTTGGACATCATCTCATTTGCCCCTCACAATTCTAAGTTTGCTACAAGTATTACTATTATTATTTTAGACATATGTTAAGAAATTTTAAGTACACTGTAACTCAATGGTACAGGTAGAATTATAATACAAATCTCCCAGGACTCTCAGCCTTATACATAATATCTTATTTGAAGAGAAATAAAAATACATAGGTTATCTCAGATTCAACCCCTAAAGCTCCAACCTAGTTCACACCCAGGTTCTACCACAGAGAAGTCAAGAGTGCTCTATGAAGGTTTCCATCCCCAAATTGCTACTAGAGTAACAGGTACTAATGTTAACACAAGGTGTTATCATTACAAAGTACTCTCTCACATGTGATGCATTGAGAGAGGGCATTTAACCCTAACAACCTAATAAGTAGATACGGGTTATCATCAGACTCCAAGAATTTATGTGTTTTGCCCATTCAAGACCATACAGCTTAATAAATAATAGCACTAAAGCTGAAAATCAGGACTTCAGACTCTAAGTATCTTTTTCTTCCTGTTATGTCTCAAAATTAGCATTTCATTTTAGCTGATACTCTGTAATTGTTTCCTCAGGGTAATGAATAAATATGAACACTAGAACTGAGTGGTTCTAAATCTTTTCTGGATTCATAGGCCCTTTTAAAAATGAAATCTATAACCACTCAAAAGGGAAAAAAACAGTTCTGTGTACATTTTCAGGACTTCATGGGCCCGCCCCTATACAAGACTGTGACTTGAAAGAGGCAATAATGTAGCGCTCCTGTTGTCTGCTCCAGAATACACAACAGACAGCACAGAACAAGGACTGAAGTAGTACTCAAATGATTGTAAATAGACCTAATTTTCTTTATACTAGCATTGAAAACAGTCAGGGAGACTCTATTAAGACATACCTTTTAGTAGTAATAGAAAAAAACCAACATAGAACAAAAATAAAGTCATTCACAGAGATGGCACTATCAATTACTGAGCCTTACTAAATGCCAGAGGCTTTTACTTCATACCATTTTTAGCCTGAAAACAGCCTCAGAAGTAACTTCGTTATTATCAACCTTTTATGAATGAATAAGCTACGGTTCAAAAGAAGCTGATTAATTTGTCCAAAATCTTAAGGCCAATGAGAAAGCAAAGATATAAATTCAGATCAGTCTAGGATGGAAGAAACCTGACTTTTCCTGCAATCACCTAAATATTCAGCTTGATAGCATACAATGTTACCAAAGGGGAGGAAAACCAAAAACATAACAATTTATTACATGAAGTGTAAAGAAAAAGTGGTTTGGGGGAATCAAAAACAGGGAAAGCATTGCAATGAAAGGTTAAAAAAAAAAAAAGTGGGGGAAACTAAGATGAAAAATCTAGATCATAATATATCTTCTGGTAGGGAATGGAGGAAGAACACTAGACTGCTAAGAACAATCTGATTCTAATTCTTACTCTGTCCCAACTCACTGGATAATCTTGGACTAACCATTTAGTCCTTCTGGACCTTAGCTTCCTCATCTGTTGTGAAATTATAAATGTCAAAGGGCATTAAAAACTTAAATTTCTAAATTCCTTCACAATTTTCAAAATTATTATTTTCATTACATTCCACTGATCAGGGATTTTGTTTTATTCACTGCAGTATCTGCAGCACCTGGTTGGTACAAAGGAATCACAAGATATTAGTTGAATGGACAGATGAATTTGATGCCAACAATAACCCTGTGAGGAACACAGAACAGGGCAGATATTACTATGCTTTTATCACATATAAGAAAAACCAAGATTCAAAAAGTTTAAAATACGTGCTCATAGTTCCAGAGCTATGTAGTAGAGCAGAATGCAAACTGAAGTCTCCCAATTCCTAGTTCAAAGTTCTTTCCAGGTCTAAAATTTGTTATGTTTCAATATATACTTAGGAAGTCAGACACATCTATAATGAACTCCTATTCCCACGTTTCCAAAGGGCAAAAAAAAAAAAGTCATTAGGATGATGTTACTATAGAAAGTAGCAAATGACTGACTCAGAAGAGTTGCCTGAAAAAATGAATACCTAATACTCAATAACGTTATATATATGAAATAAAGGAGATAAAATCCTATTTCTGAACTTTAATTATACTTTATTTTCTGTGTTCCAAAGCAACTCTACACTTGTAATTAAGGCTGGCTACTCTGCAAATGTCTGCTGTTAATACTAAGGGAGAAGGAACTCAAATTTATCTCTACAAGTAAGGTTGTTATTCAAACCATAAACATTACTGCAGGCTTCCCCAATGACCTGAGGTTGAGGAACTAACCTCCTACTCTAAAGCTTAGGATTACCTGAGTTACAGATGAAAAGTCCTGACAGGGTAGACTCAGCTGGAAACATCTATGTGCACAGAGATAAAAATGCAGTAAAAGCCCCAGGGCAAAGCTCTATTCTCCAAGATTCTCAAAAGTACAAGATTGTATTTTAAGAACCTAAGTAGGGAAGAACAGGGGGTTGGCTGAAAAATAGCACCTTCTGATTTAAAGGTGTTCTCATGGCCATGGCATGCAGCTTCCTGCCTTAGGCTATAGGCTAGTAAGAAAATCTTTGTGTGTAGTGATTTTTTAATCAAAAAAATTTTCAAACTCATCTAAACATAAAATCCTTTCTTTCAAAAATAAGTCATTTCTGTATATAAAATGGCTACCCCCAAAATCAAGTAGTTTAAATACAATGATATAGACCAAAATACTGTGTCATAGAGGAGGCAGTATATAAGTGGGATTAGTAAAGTAAGAATTTTAGTATATCTCACAAAAATTTCTTAAAGCAAACTCATCAAAATATACTTCTGAAAATATAAACTGAATATTCTCCACCGATTTATGCTCCTTTGGTTTCCTCTCCCACTGAGAGGACTTCCATAAGGTATATGTCAAAAGAGTAGTTTTACTGGGCGCCTGGGTGGCTCAGTTGGTTAAGCGACTGCCTTCGGCTCAGGTCATGATCCTGGAGTTCCAGGATCGAGTCCCGCATCGGGCTCCCTGCTCAGCGGGGAGTCTGCTTCTCCCTCTGACCCTCCTCCCTCTCATGCTCTCTGTCTCTCATTCTCTCTCTCTCAAATAAATAAAAAAAATAAATAAAATCTTAAAAAAAAAAAAGAGTAGTTTTACTGAAACTATTTCCATGGCACTCAAATAAAACAGAGTATCTGGGTAAGAGGTGAAAAAAAGTATTCTCAGTGAGTGAGGTAAAAGTCACATGACTGGACCCTGAGGAAGAAACTGACATTCAGACTGAGAGAACAGGGTTTAATCAAGATAAACATTCTGTAAATGTAAAGGTTAAATTTAAAGCAGTACAGGTTTTTAGAGCTCTAGTTCTATAATTTGAGAGTTATCTCACAATCATCTACTGTTTCACTTACCTTTTAATAATAATAATTAATAATTTCCCTCTCCCATTTAAAAGTCATTTTCCATGCTGGTATAAACAACATATTTAAATTTTTCTACATCAGTGACCTTACCTAGTGGCAAACTGAATGAGTGCATTTTGAAGAGTCTGCCTAATTTCAAGAAGAAAAGATTCATCATCACTTAGTGTATAATACCAATACTGGACATAATCCCTCAAGGAAAACTGGATAACCTAAAACAAAAATATTGGGAAAAAACACAGCTTTTTAGGATTTAAAAAGTATCAGCAGCAAACTAAAACCTGAAAGGATTATTTACCAATTTATATTTACTCTCTACATACTAAATTGTGATTAACAAAAAAAAAAAACCTGCCTTCATTACAAAAGGACCGATATGCTAAAAAACCATTTCAAAAAATTTTATATTATTTTGGTGTCCCAATTCACCCACTGCCCAAATTTTTTAAAAATTAGAGTTACCTATGGTCAACCCCTACCCATACTGAGGTAAGATAGAGCTTGCAAAAAAAATAAATTTTCAATGCTATAATATAATGAAGAGTTTTAATTAGCTTGATGGAATGAGGTGCAAAATAATGCCAACTGACCCTAATTCTCAAAAAGAAACCACTTTTCCAAGATTATATCATCAGATCTGTTGCAATCAAATTACAAAAAAAAAAAAAAACACAGGAGTTCACTTAAATCGAATAACTTTGATACTGCCAACAGTATTAAATCAGTCAATACATCAAATAATACAACTTGATGTATATTATTTTTGAAAATCTGATAAACTAAATATGGGTTTAACTATAAAAGAAATGTTAGAATTTTAAAGAACACATTATAATAATCATATAATCAAATATCAATGAAAACTATCTGGAGGGAGAATAATTTTTAATTTTTTTAAGATTTCTGAATCAAATCAGGTATATCCATTTAAAAAACTATAATACAAATTGTCTGATTTGCCAAAACACTAAGCTTATTCATCAGCTAAAGAGCATTTTAACTTTAAAATAATTAGAAACATTATCAACTAGGTCAGCAAAAACTTTATTAAATGCAAATTCAAACAAAAGGCTTTAATACTACATAAACCACTTCATTATAAATGATTTCACAAATAAGGCAGTATCTTTAAGTACAGAATCCAAGAACAGCATTACAGTGAATTTCCAGCATCTTACATAAATAGCAAAAATTATTTCCTGGTATTTTCTTTCTTTTTTGTTTTTTTCATTTCCTTGTATTTTCAAAAGAAATATACCTTACAACACAATATAAGGAATTCAAATACCACATACGAAAACTCACTTGCTGGAGAGGCTCATCAATTATATTGGCACCTGTCAATCTTCTATCAATCTTTATAGTCCTGGCTTCTCGTTTCATTTCTTCTAAGCACTTAAGGGAAATCACAACATTTTACTGCATATTTTCTTGATTTAAAATCTGTATAGTTTACCTCTAACTTGCAACTTCCCTGTCATTTCAAGTCAGTCAGTAATCTTATTTCTCAATGCTCTGATACAAACCAAAGACTATTTCTCAAGTTAACACAGCTAGACACCCAGGGAAAAAAATCTATTGTTATCCTCAAAAGTTTAGTAAAATTGGCAAATATTATTTAGAATGTGAGAAAACTGAAAATGTAAGATATACTGTTGTTGTATTTCAATGAAACTTTCAAACCATAAGTTAGTGTTTCAGGTGAATCAAGTTAATGATTGTCTTTATTAAACTCTGCTCCTCTTCTCCCTTCCCCCTCCCAGCCCAAAACAGTATAGCAGGTGCCAAATAAAATTTTTTATTTGATTTTTAGCACAAAAGAAAATGAATTTCTCTATTTCTCTGTAGTGTTCAGTAAGACCACTGGCCTGGAAATAAAGTGAAAAGTAGTGGGACACTCTTCAGTTAAAAATACAAACAAACAAAAAACAAAAACAAACAAACAAAAGTACAAATATATATATAAAACACACACTTCAAATTATAACATGCAACATCCAAGGATAGGGTGAATTCTTTTATTTCAGTAATATAAAGTAATACTGTATATAACTATCTCTGCATCTCCTACATCTTAGCACATAATGGACAAGTTAGTAACTGTAAAGGTAAGATACTGGCATTAACTCCAGATCATTTTGTCTCTTTTCATACAAGATGAAACAAACCATCCCAATACCACAAGAACTGAAGACAATGCAAATCTAAAGCCTACTTATAGTACCAAATTCCAATTTTACTTATAGAATATGGTATCCTAATAGTAAGCTGTATTTTTCAAGTCAGTTAAAAAAGAATACCCATTTTCTTTTCTCTGGTTTCTATGCAATTCATTTCATTTCAAATTTTGAAATCCTGTGTTAAGATAGTAGGAAGAGGCCCCAAATTTCTATCTTTTCCTAAAATTTGCATTCCCACTCTTAACATCTAACACTATAAAAGTTTTCAAAATAATCTTTTAAAATGTATTTTCTAAGCATGATCAGAAAGTGTCCCATAAGTTTATACTGAGCATCAGTGGATTATAGGAACATCTGCCAAGCCACATACAGATGATCACATTACCATCATTTCATAGAACAAGACTTTGAGGTTTTACATTCCTTTACCCTATTTACCTTAGGAATCCCAGTTGACGTTGGAGGAAGAAATGAGTGTTCACACTGCTCTAGGTACTTCTCTGAGTTTGTTTTTCCAAACAGGAGAGTAACCACAAAACCCCTGGGGCAGAAAAAATTCAATTATAGAAACAAAAACAAAATTGTTTTATAACTTAACACATCTATTAACCAGATATTTTTCAGATTTAATAGATGGTTTATCACTCACTAAAAAATCAGCTTTTGACTTCAGCAAGGCAAGTAATTGACTGTTATGTTCTGAAGTTTAAAACAACTACAAACATTCTGTGAACTTCTACAAGAATGCCTTTCAAAGTTTTCATATAAATGTTTCATAAAGAATCCCTGGCAACAAGTTCAAACTTTTGGAAAATCAGCCCTTGCTAAATAAGTAGGCTAGGTAACCAAGGATGAAGACAAATGAGATCTAAATCTATAGCTAAAATCACACATTTCTATAGTTCTATTAACTAATTAATGTGAAATAGTAACGTAACTTGCCATTATGGAAACAGAATAAGCAATTATAGTCCAAAGAAGAAAAAAAAGATATAGTTTATAATCAGACCGGAATTTAAAAATACATATAAATACATTCCAAAGGCTAATTATTTTTTTAAAAAATTATAGAGTTAAGGTAAGATAAAAACTGGCTTAAAACTGTTTTACTCTAAGTATTGACTAAATGCTATCAATATTTCCTATATTTAAAATTTACCAGTTAAATCTAAGCACCACTAAGTAGACAGGAAATCCATAACAGAAAAACATCAAATTCTAACTTTATAATAATCTTATAGTAATCTTACAACAATTCAACCGCTGTTGTGACAAGAAGGGAACTATGAAAAATTAAATATGGATCAGCCTCAACTACTAAAAGGAAGGTTCTCAAAGTCCTCTGCTTTTTGTGGCTATCTGCTGCTCTTTAGTACAAGCACTACAAAAGCTGAAAGATGAGTTGAGAAAACAAAATCAAATCAGCCCATGTTATCAATTCTTTGTTTCTTTTTAAAAAAGCTAGCCTTGGAACAATAAATTTAATCTGTCTTGCATCTGATACTATTACTAAGAATCAAGTTGGCCCCATATTTCAGTTATATCTAGCAATAAGCAGATTTAGACATAATTAAATGCTTATATTAACTATGTATTTCTAAAATTATTATCATGAGACAGACTGATAAAACACTAACCTTTGTCCAAAGAATGATAGTAGAAAAGTAAACTAAGGAACAGTCTAATCTTACAAAGCACCGGTTTCAGCCTTGAGGTTTAAGTAAAAACAGGTGCTACAAATGACTGCATCATGCAATCTAACAGAATTCCATTAAATAACCCATAACACAGTATCAATAGTATCCCCCCAAAAAAACACATAATACAAAAAACTCTAAGTGATTTTCCTTCCAAAAGCTATCTTTATTATAGAAAATATGGAGTTAGCTTTGACTATCAGCAAAACATATACATTATCAACACTGTAGATGGTTAACTGCAGAATTTTAAACAAAGGTGGTTTCCCTAGGAATGTATTAATTGCTCTCAAACTTGCATTTTATATAAGGAAAAAAAAGTATCTTAAAAACTTAGACAATAAAAAAACACACTAAAACCAAGAAATGATTATATGAAATGTAATTATTTTACTTGAGATTGATATTTAAAAGCCTGTATCTGCTCTTCCAATTCATAAGGCATTAAACTATACTAAGTTACATCAAAGAAAAAACAATCATTCCTTTCTAATTATAGCCAAAATAAGGAAGACTTGATTCAGAACTATGGTAGTCATTGACTATAACTGAGTAATCTAGAAATGCTTAATTAATCCCCTGAGAGAATTCTGGGAGGCTTTCTAGTACTTAAGTTGGAAGTCCCCTTACTACGGCAGTGAATTTCACTGAGATTAACAATCTTGAACAGAACATCAGACCAGAACATTTATGATATAGCATGAAGTTGGAGTTTCAGACCTTACCATGTGACTCTTAATATTATCGAAAAAGTTTTTAGTGATCCTAGCATGCCATCTAATATCCCATCTTATCTAAAAATTTTTACAGAACTTTAGAAGTATCTAAAATCAATTTTGATTACTCCCTGATAAATCTGCAGACTCAAAAAGGAAATAAGAAAGGTTACCAAGATTTTGAAATGCATGGACTCCTCACCCTTCCCCTCTTCCAAAACTTTATATGGAGCACTTTAGTTTGAGAAATAATTCTCCACCCCTCCAACTTCCAAGGGTTCCTAGGGCTCCTACTGACAAAGAAAGCTACAATTTTCTCCCTTTCTGAAATATTGGGAAATAGTCTGAAATCATTCTCTTTCACTTTTGCCAAGGGTTTATTCAATTCATGAAAGAGAAGAAATCTCTCCTTTTCAGAGAAACATCTCCTCAAAACGGCCTCCTTTCCAATCAGTAAAAGCAGCCATGACTCTGTGGGAAGAGGTGCAACCGTACAGCTCTGCAACCATTCTGCTCTCTGGTCTTCATTTGTGACAAAGAAGTGTAATTTAGGAAGCCCAGGGAGCTGCAGACCTACAGTCTTCAATAATCTTAGTCAATAAAGATATTCAAAGTTCCATTTATCTGGTCCTGATAGCTTATTTCTCATTGTTTCAGTATCCAGTACCATATCTAAGCAATTATAATGAAACTGTTAAATCTAAAATAAATGCAGTTTTAGGGATAGACCTTGAGGTAGCTGCTTGATTTGATTCTCACTTGTTTCACAAAGAGTGGGTGTACTCCCTCTGAAAAGGCCACACAGAACTTTCAAACCCTATCGTGAAAGAGGTGGGAGGTGGGAAGTACAATCAGAAATCACTCCTTGAGTGTCTCATATAGTCTTTCAGGATGCAGTTCATGTATCCTATTCAATTCATCTAAGTTCTCTAAACCTATAGATTCCAATAACTCCTCCAAATACTTGGAGCCTCAAAAGAGTTTTTAAAAAGAACTCAAAGGTATTCATACCACAAATACTTACATAAACATATCTTATATATACATACATACACACAAGCATATATATAAATATATATAGTAACAACAAAATACTCGCTCAGTTAAGCTACCTTGGTTTGAGTATCTAAGTAACAAGCATCCACCTCTCTTTTCTATACTTTTCTTAGATACAATTCACATCCGAACCAAATGCTCCACATAGGAAGCTATACTAAATCATGACTGAAACCTCTCTTGCGAACGTTTATCAACTCAATGTAAAGCATAATCAAATAAACAATGAAGAGAAAATAGCAAAATCAGGTGTTTAAATTTTCTATAACAAAATGACAGCATTCACTAAGGGAAATAATTAATATTATTGTATGAAGTCTAATCAATGAAACAGTATCTTCTATACTATGTAAAACTTGACGAGTCATCTCAATTTAACTTACTTATCTTGTTAATATTGTAATAGATAAAAAATTTTCCACCTTAAAACATAATAACAACACCAAAAGGAATAAAAAATCTTTAAAACTTTTCAAATTATACAAAAAAGTTTTATATCATCAAAAAATTTTTTGAAGATGACTATCCATATTTCTGGTACAAATAACTATCGCCACCACTTTTATTATATTGCATATCTTAATTTTACTTTATTTAACTTTGGTAAAAAAAATAATTTGCAAACATAGCATTCACAAATCATACTACCATTTCTCATGGTCATTTTTTTTCTTCTTATTGAGGTTTCATGGTGATTTGTTTCAATTTCTAACAAGTGTATGACATTTGAATTGTAAGATTATCATTGAGAATACTTACCCACCCACAAAGCAGAGGATATAAAAGGCCAAATAAAATATTACAAAGGGTCCAAAGGTTATTAGAGAAAGGACAATGCCAAGGCTTCCCCATCCCCATATGGATAGACTGGTCTGAAATAAAGCAAAGAAAAAAAATGTTTAATAAATAAATGTCCATATGAATTAGAAAAGAACCAACAAAACTTTTACATAGTTTTACATTTCTCCTTTTAAACATATACAGTTACTATTTCAGTAATTGTTACGTATTTACTTTTGAAAATGTTAACTACATTCTTAGAGCTTTATCTCCAAGAAACAATATACAAAATCTATATGCAGAAAGGTATTTAAGTACATCAGCAATGATTTTTTTAAAATGTAGTGACAATGTAAATGCACAGCAAGCAATCATTACAATAATTGTTGAATGATATGCTGGCATGAGAAATGGTAAAAAAAAAAAAAAAAGTATTTATGAAAACATTTATATATAAAAAGTTAGGTAGACTACAAAGTTGTACTTGTTTAGAATATTTCTTTTTTTTTTTTTTTAAAGATTTTATTTATTTATTTGAGACAGAGAGAATGAGAGAGAGAGAGAGCACATGAGAGGGGGGAGGGTCAGAGGGAGAAGCAGGCTCCCTGCCGAGCAGGGAGCCCCGATGCGGGACTCGATCCAGGGACTCCAGGATCATGACCTGAGCCAAAGGCAGTCGCTTAACCAACTGAGCCACCCAGGCGCCCCTAGAATATTTCATTTTAAAACCAAGTTCCAACAAAACTATAGCATAACAAGACATTTTTAAAAAATTAAAATTTCAAAGTAAGAAATCCACATCTCACCGAAAATTTTTTTACTCAAATTGTGTCCAGAAATTTGTAAAATTATAATTGCACAACTTCCAAATTTCAATTACCAACATATACCATGAGCTCAAAAAACATCTCCAAAAATTCTCAGTCCTTAAAAATAAACAAAAACCCCTATTTTGTTTAGAATTATACTGTATTATATATTTAAAATACTCCTTTTATTGAAAGCAAACTGGATTTTAGCAATTTAAGTAATTATGAATAAATAAACGTATTAAATTCAACAAGTTCCTACATCCATTTGCCTTGTACTGTGAGGTCCACAAAGGAAGCATTTGTCCCATTCCTGCCATCAAGGAGCACAGAGAAGAATGTCTTACAGGAATGAAACAATTAGACACTGAACCAAAAGAAAATAATAAAAAGCATTATAAGATGCTAAAGTGAACAAAATTAATGACCAGAAAACTATGGAATAGACAATAAGTTCTATGGATTATGAGAGAAAGGACAGTTTTATTTATTCACTCATTCGCCAGTCATTGACTGCTTTCTATGTGCTATAAGCACAAGGTGCTGGGGAAACCACAAGGAATAAAACATACCCTCACAAGGCTACATGCTAGTAAGGAGACAAAGACAAGCACACTCGGATAAATCTACAGACTTCTGTTAAGTTTGCATTCCAGAAGGGGAAAAAAATAATAATAAATAAATTTATAGTTATATCAGATGGGCATAAGTGTTATGAAGAAAAATAAAGTAACTACATGTGGTTGCTATGTAAGTTATATATATATGACTATATAAGAAGCTCTCAACCAGATGACATATGAACAGAAATCTTAGAATTTATTTAAGGAGAATTTATAATAACGTGTCTTCCTAGCCCAAGTAATATTTTTCCATTTGTTCATATTCTCTTTTATGTCACTCTGGGGAAGTTTTTTTAAATTTCTTCTTTTATATAAGGCTGGTGCAATTCTTATTCATTTGTAATTTTACTATCCTTTTTCCTCATCCCGGCCATTTTTTTTTTTTTTAAGATTTTATTTATTTGACAGAGAGAGAAAGAAAGAGCACAAGCAGGGGGTGCAGCCAAGGGAGAGGAAGAAGCAGGCTCCCCGCCAAGCAGGAAGCCCAATGTGAGGCTCCATCCCAGGACCCCGGGATCATGACTTGAGCTGAATGCAGCCGCTCAACGGACTGAGCCACCCAGGCGCCCCCATCCTGGCCACTTTTTTTTTTTTTTTTTAAAGATTCTATTTACTCATTTGAGACACAGAGATACAGAGAGAGAGAGAGAAAGCATGAGCGGGGGAGAGGCAGAGGGAGAGGGAGAAGCAGGCTTCCCACTGAGCCAGGAGCCTGATGTGGGGCTTGATCCCAGGACGCTGGGATCATGACCTGAGCCGAAGGCAGATGCTTAACCATCTGAGCCACCCAGGCGCCCCTCCTGGCCACTTTTTAACCAGAGGACAGAAAGCCCTGCTGATGAAGTTTCTGCTTTGTCCTCATGATTTCCTCCCTGAATCAGCTGGGGATACTATTTCACCTACACAAGTGGTCTCTGACTCCTAAGAGCTGAAAGTAAGCCAGGGAGATTAAGAATAAAGTACAGAGCAGTCTAATCCCTCTGACAATACTTCTGCTGAACACCCCAGTACCTGGATCCACATTACAGTACTGCCAGATACCCAACTATGTAAAACAGATGCTATTTCTCAAGATTCACTCAAAACCTTATCCACTGACTTCCCTGCAAAGAGTTCTCATAAACTCTCAGGAAAGCTGAAACCAGACTATGACCCAGATATTTTATTCAAACTACTTTCTTGAATGAGGTCTGACCTAATATTTGCAATATTATTCTTTCTTTACAAAGTTAGATTTATGCTTGCTAGCCAGTTTTTCAAAGCTAAACAACTTACTGTTTAGATATATTAAGAGGTTTTAAAAATGAACCAAGCAGCTACTGCTATAGATAAAGGAAGAGAGCGTAAGAAATGTATTATTTCTTCTTCTGTTTGAATCATACCTCTCACAATTAAAAAATTTTTCAAAGAAGAATCACAATCAGTTAATATGGGGAAGATTATTAAATGTAGCAGTTAGTTAACATGGGGAGATGCTTGAATGTCTAAAACCCAATCTTATCTCCTCTCATTTGAAAATGGCAGCAAAATGCTCAAAACACAAATTTTTATTCATTCAATAAATATTTGTCAATACCTACTACAATGTGCCAGGTACTAATGATTTAGCATGAACAAAACAGACATTACTGTTATATTAAAAAAAAAAAATCTAAAAAAGAAGACCCTTTCTTTAATTTTGAAATTTTTATATTACATAGACTAATAAAACTACACATTTTCAATCAAACAAGTCACATGTTCATTTGCTTTGTAGTTAATCTCTTACAATAGTTAACTTCAAATTTTAAACTGTTCATTCAAACACCAGAATAGTGAATTGCACAAAACTAGAAAGTTTTATATTATTCTTACTGTTCCCACATATATACACACACATATATATAACTGGCTGATATTATTATGTTATTATTTGGTGAGATTAAGGAAAACAATTGATCTTATACCATATAAAAATTGAGTTCTAATTATTTCCTAAGATGATACAAGATGATAAAATTTAGGATCATTTTGGACCACATCAGAAACTTTCTACAAATTCAAACAGGTATTAATTACCTCAAAAGTTGACCTAACGTGGAAGTCAAAAAATAGAAATAAATCTCTATTACAGTGATTTACATTAAAATAATACTTGATATATTACCATTTTCTTCTCTAAATACAATAATCAATGCTAAAAATATCCTTGCTATCTGATTCCCTAGAACCACTGACCCACCAACTGGGCACTGGAAGAAACCTTCGAACATCATCTACTCCGGTACTTTTTAAACTTTAAGAATCTTAAATGCAGACTCTTAAAATGCAGATGCTAATCCATTATGTCTGTGGTTCTTTCACTTCCAACAAGCTATCAGAACTGTTTAGAACTTAAGACAACTATATATTTATAATTCCCCTTAATCTCTAGGTCCACAAAACCTTATTCACAAACTCCAAAACCTAAAAGGCTTTGAGAACCAAAACTGTACAAGACATTCTACATACTTTACCGCATTTATTTCTCAGAACAACCTTACTAAATAATCATAAGTTAGGACAGCATAGTGCCCAAACAATATGGACTCTGGAGTTAGACTGAGTGCAAATCTTACCTTTACTATTTATTAGTTAGATAACCACTATACGCCTTAATTTCCTCAACTATGTCATTTGTCTGTTATGGGGAGTAAATAAATGAGTCCAATGTCTAGTGTTCATTATTATTCTTAGTCTAGTAACAAAGAAACTAAGGCACAGAGAAGCTTAAAAAAAACTCCCTAAGGTCATGCAAGCTAATAAGTTTAAGAGTGAGATTTGATCCTTAAATCTTAAAATTTAAGCGCTGAGAATCTTAAAATTGATACTTCAGCGCCAACTTGGGTCATAGAAATCATATGAGTTTAACAATAAAAATAAGTACCCAAAAGAAGACTGGCCTTATTACAACTATAAATTGTTTTCCTCCCACCTTATTCCACTTACAATAAGTTGAAAGTTCTTCTCCAAGTAATTTCGATGGCATATACTCCTGACACGGAACCTGTCTCGTTCAACATTACATAATAATTTAACCAAAGCCTGGTACAAAGAAGCTGCTCACTAAAAATGGAAATATTTAATTTACTAACTAGAGAAATGAAATGGAGGGAATGGAAAGAGGAGGGAGGGGAGAAAAGGAGAGGACAGGGGAAAGGGGAAATGGCAAGACAAGGAAAAGGTCTAGGAAAAGTGAAAACGAAAAGGACCCTAAATTGAAGTGTTCCTCCACCACCCACCTTATGGCTTTAGGCAGAGCTATACATTCCTTCCAGTACAACCCATACCAAATTCCCACCTGCAAAAAAAAAAAAAAGTCACCCAAAAATCTGGACCTTGTTCTTCCATGAAACTGATGAACAAAAAAGTGTTCTTTTGGCTGTCTCAATATATGCTGACAGTAACCCACATCATTACTTCCTTTATGGGGAGGAAACCACAGAATAGCAGCCACACAGGGATCATCAGTACATCTGCTGGAGCAACTGGTCCCAAACCCCTCTTTTCATACAAGGGAATAAAGGGACAAGAGAATAAAGATCCTCTTCTACTCACTCCTATTTAAGATGCCTAGCATATTCTTGGGAGGATGATTAAAGACTACTGTGATAGGGTGTTTTCAATTCAGTTGGTGAGCCA